AGTAGATCCCCTTTGAAAATATGGACCTTAGTATTCTAAAGGATTTATTTTACTAGTGTCTAGTTAGGGTCATTATATTCAAATAGACTTAGCTATATTATTCTGAAGTCAAGTCAAAGGCAGGATATGCACCTTATAGACTAAAATAGATATATATAGAGAGAGACAGAGAGTGAGAGAGAGAGAGAACGAGCACAAGTTTCATGAGCTAGAGCTCACTTCCTCAGATGCTCAGTGGTGAAGGGAGCTCTAGTCCATCAAAACTTGTGCTATACTCCAGTTAGTCTAAAAAAATATGTGCAGCTGTTATATTTACATCTAACTAATCAGGGTTAGATTGATCTAAATGCCACTCTGTGCAGATGTTTGGTAGGCTAAGTCACGCAAAAAATGGCTGGCCTGATGTAAATTAGTTCAAGCTGAGGAGATGAACTAACTTAGATCAGGAATGGGTTAGCCTGAACTTGTGAACATCTGCACATATTCAGAATGCAGCCCTGGTGCTGGGAAAACCCAGTCACTTGCCCCAGCCCCAGGGCTGTGCTCTTCCTACTCTCCCCCCACCTACTCTGACTGGGCTATTTTTAGCCCTCTATTCACCGACTCCTGGATGGTCAACCTCGCCCTTACCAGACCTGGATCCACCAACCACCTCTCCCCTGCCCCTCACAGACCCACCAACCCCCCCCCGCCAGCCCTGCCTGCTAGCCCCCAGCTTCCCCACCCTGTTACTTAAATTGGGTTCCCAAGATTGCTCCAGGCACTGGTGAATGTCTGCACATGCTGCTCCTGATCTACAACCCTGTGGCTTAAAGTAAGTCTGCAGTGAATGTCTACACTTACCCTAAGGTACAAATCTATCTTGCCTTCTCATCATATTCAGCCTATCTACATTCTCCTGATGGTTTCACTCTTTATCCTTACTTGTTCTAAACAGCTGCTCAGTACAGCTGTATTGGCAGGTACATTTCTGTGATTGATCTATGTAGATTGATTGTAGCACTCTGTTTATTCTAGTGCCTGTTTATTTTTTACCATGGAAAAGGATGGCTATGTATGTTCATTACACTAAATTTTGTGCTCCTAGCTGCTGTACCTACTTCATGTAAGAGTTGCCTTTTCTTTTTACTGTACAATCATTTATTTTTTGGATAATTTTTTTGTGCCCATGGTAACAGCAAAAATGTACTGACAACCATTGTTTCTCGCTCAATATTATATATGCATGTTTAGAAAGTATTCTGAATTAGAAGGTGTTATGCAGCACATACACTAGATACTGGAACTCTCATTAAAGTCCAGATTGATAGAAAACATGCTATTCAAATTCCCAGAGCAAAGTCATTAAGCTGAAATGTTTATGAAGCAGCTAAGGAGCTATGCTGGAAAAATTCTGTCATGCGTCATGATCTCTCATACAGGTATGAGAGTTTAACCAGAAGAACATAGACATTAATGCTTCAATATTTATGGCAGATGAGATAGTTAAAGCAGGCATTACGAGATAGGGTGGGTGCTATAGTAGAAGTCAGCAGCTTAGAATTCTTTAGGCAAAAATGTAGCTGGTATTTTGTTTCTGTGTGAGAGGTGCGATGTTTTAATAAGTCCTGTTAAAGGCACCTTAGATATTTTTTATGAAACTCAATTCATGGAAGTTCTCATAAATAATTTCCAAACATTATTTAGTATCTACACATACTTTATGCCATCTGGAGTTAGGAAAATTCTGGGACTGAAGCAACCAGCTGGCACAGCTGTAGAGGTGATGACAAAGTTAATTTCCAGGAAAGGTACCAGCCTCTCCACTTAGCTAGCACTCCCAGCAGCTAGAGTAATTTATAATTAAGCAACCATCTTGAAATAATTTGCTCATCCCTTTCTCTGACCTGAGATGTGATAATAACAAATTTTTAAAAAAGATTATTTTTAAGAAAAGCCTGTAACAGCTAAATTAAGGAAAGAAACTGGTTTTCAGTCCAATTGACATGCTAAATTATTTTGTAAATGAGAACTGTAATAATAGGAAATTGTTTTTTTAAATATCAGCTCCCACTTATGTCATGTTTTCATATTTTTGGAAACCTAAATTGCTCATGATTCATTTTAGATGTTTTGTTCTGTCTTCTGAAAAATGCTTGAGAAGATTCAGTGAATTTCATTATTCAATGAGCAGGAATACAGCTTTGTACTTACCGGTAATTCTTGCCAATATGTATTCTGTATGTTCTCTCTTATTGGGCCTGGCTTCTGACCTACAACCTAGTCTGGTTTCTCTCTCTCCTACCCCTTCAACCCAGTATCATAAACTCTAAGATTTCCTGGTTTTATTTGTTTGGTTTTGTTTCTTTGCCTTGCACTCTCCTTTAGTGCAAGGCAGAGAAAAGTGCTATATTTCAATGTCCAGATTTTAACAAAATGAACTCACAGTTGTTTTGGAACGTTCCTTTCTGAAGGAATCTGGTAGCACCTTGGTTCTCTAGCCACTCTCAACCAGTCTCAGCTCCATCCCCTCTCCCTTTTATAAGCTCCTAATTGGTTTTCTATAAGCCTACTGGGTGACCATTACTTCTGTTCCATCCTCATTAACCATTTTATGGAACAACCTTAGTGCAGACCTCTGATGCATCCTGTCCTGGGCACATTTCCCTTTGCTGTGGAAAGCAACTCAAGAGTGTTCAGTAAAGGCAAGTTTGCTTCCCTACCTTCACAATGGAAATAGTTATCAACAGTGCTTAGATTACATTTCTACCAATTAACTACTACCTGTTCCTCAACACAAACATGCTGAGACAAAATCTGATTTTTCATATGAACTTGTGATTCTGAAATCCACAACCTCAGGCCAACATTTCACATAGGCCCAGTTTGCCTCCAGACCATTTTTTCAGTTAAGAATTTCTAGCAAAAGATTTTATAATGTAGGTGGGGAAGGAAAAAATGCAACATGCAAAAGGATGGTTTAAAACTGCTGACAGTAAAATAACTACATAAATGGAGGCAAACATATGAAGGTGGAAAGATAAATGACATAACAGCATTTATTTTAATAATCTTTCCAAAAATATTTTCTTCATAACCTCTATGGTTTAACTATGGTGATCCATATTTCTCTGAAATTTGTTTTTCAAACAGGGCAACTGACAGTGCAAAAATTCCTGTTCACACACCAGCTTTGCCCAGAAGGCTAAATACAAACAGTCAAAAAACCCGAGGCTGAATTGATTCAGTCTTTGCAGGTTAGTCTAAACTGCAGAGATTAAATTGAAACAGAAGTGAATGGACATTTACCTTTGATTCAGGAAATGCAGCCACACGTCTGCAGTGGCTTAGGCCAGAAGCCCAGGGGCACTAGAGCACAGCTCTCTGGCACATAGCCAGAATGGGCTGCATATTCACTTCCTCTTCTTGCAGGTCTCTGGGACTCGCAGTCCAGAATCACAACAACAGGACTCTGTAGGGTTGTTCATCATTTCTTCCTGCTTCCAGGTGCCTCTGGGATTTGTTGTCCACAGTTGCAACTAGCAGTAAGTTTGTGTAGGGCAAAGGGGTTTAACCCCCTTCCCTGGCCGCAGACCTCAGCTAGGTTTGTCTAGGGTGGGATGTCCCCTCCTCCTTACAGACTGGGCTGCATCCCCAGCCAGGCTTGCACCCCCGCATCTCATTGTCAGCCAGCCCTCGTTGCTCCAGCTAGGGAGCAGAGGTGCAGGCCCAGCCCTGCTTTCTGGAGCAGACAGCACAGCCCAGCCCAGGGCTGCAAAGCATGCTGGGATACTGGGGGACTATGATTTAACTTGAACTAGGAAGGGGTCTGAGAAAGAAGTTTCATAAACCAGTTTGATCCAAATCAGTTGAGTTTGATACTACATTCAACCAAGTTTATCTTAAACCAGTTTCAGTCATTTTGAAATTGGTTTATGTGCACTGAGCTTCTGTTCTGTTAGAGGTTTAAACCAGTTTCTGATCACCTAAACCAGTTTATGTGTAACTTCTGTCCCTAGTTGAATTGTCCACAGGGCACTTAAGAGGCACACAGACTTTTTGTCACCGATTCATTTTTCCCTTTTTCCCTAAGTGTAAACCAATACAGTTTTATTACCAAGGAGAGTAGCCTCTCCTTGATGTGACAGATAAAGTGTTTAATCATTTGCCTTGAGGTTTTTTCAAGGTTTCTTATAGCTCTGTTGACAATGAAAGGTCGCAAAGTTCATTAGATCACTAATATTTATTTTACTTTGTTTGGATTTCTAAGAAGAGACCGACAAAATGACCTTATCTTAAATGGGTAAGCAACCTAGACAGATAAACCTCCATTGATTTCAGTGGGAGCAGAGGTAGATAGACCACTGCAGAATGCTTTTGAAAACCACTGCAGAATTGTTTTGAAAATCTTAGCCTCAGTGCACAATCAGACATAAAGCATAACCTAGTAGTACCTTACAATATCCCACATTGATTTATTAAATAGAACAGCAAAGAAAAAATAAGGAAAATATCCCACTTCCCCTCAAGACTGTCCTTCTGGCTATTTCTTCTCTCCCCCCCCATCCCACATAAAAGATAACTTTGCCACACAGCTCAAAAGCCAATAAATGTAAGCAGAGAGTATGTTCCAAAGACAAGGAAACCCACTATCATCTCCCTAATCCTTTCCATTATGTCAGAAGCAATACAGTTCAAATGACTTTCACTTGATTTGTTTTCTATAGAGACTTGTGTCTCATTCTTATGAAATAATATTAGCCAACTAACAGTTTCCTTCACCACAGTTTTACATGTATTTATACTGTACTTCTCCTGCAGTATATGTTATAGGTTTGGGTCTTCCTGTTTTGTACAATATAGTCTCGTAACTTATGTCTCTTCTGTTTCTAAATTGGAAAGTGTGAAGAGTTTGGGGTTCTAAGGCTAGATGTATCTCATACTTTGGCTCACAGGACAAAGATGTAGAGCATTCCCTGCTCTTTTGCTGAGGTGTGACTTCATCTCATTTTACCTTCCAGGCTTCAGATTACTAAATGCATCCTTCAATACCACAGGACTCCTTTCCTCGGAGATACCAGACAGGAGCAGGTGCTGGCAGGAGAGAAAGATATTATTGCTGGACTGGGGAAATTTTGTCAGCTTTTCAAATGTATAAATGTTTTCCATTGGCATTTGTCAAACCTTTGTATACCTGAGATGAGGTCATGAGAGGATCTAGGATTTTGAAAAGAAGCGTACAGATAGTGTGGCATGTCATCATATATAAACACAATGCACATTTTTGTCCAATTAAAGCAAAACTAGAAACCTTACTAATATGCTAGCACTAGGTTATTCAGTTTAAGATTAAACCAAAAACCAACATAACTATTGGAACGAGTACTAATTTACTAGTTTATATATTAAGTTAAAAAAACACAACAAACTAGGCAAAAAATAGTTAAAATAATCAAAAGATATTTTGTCCTGTAGTCATTACAGTTAAAGTATGTCTTTTATTTAGATTTAGATTTATAAAACAAAACCTAGCCTTCTTTAGTGTCTTGACAGTGCCTCTGATACTTCACTGCTAGACATTCCTACACCTGAGTTAATATTACCACACCTGAGTGTTGTATTGCAGTAGCTATAATTGCTTTGATTGCTTATATAGTTTTTTTCTTTTTATATAATGAATTATTTAGCCATTGCGATAAAGTTAATCTTGTTAGGATTTACTTATTATAAAATTTTAATCAGTCATTATTAATGTTCTGGAATTAACCAACTATTTTAAATTTCCTATTGCTTAGCATAAATATATTTGACATATTGGTCTAAAGATTTTAGAACTTAAATTTGGTATAAGGAAAATGCTTCTGTAAGGTCTGTAGTAGGTCTTTAAAAAGAGGTGTGTTTAAAAAGAGGTAATGAAAGAATGAATGATGTATGTATGTGACAACATGAAGGAAGACTGTCCTCTTGCAGCAGGTGAAAATAGCCTTCTGTGGTTTAACGGTTAAAGGTTGTAGCGACGTCGAGGCAGCAGTTAAGAATTACCAAATGCTAGATCATGCTTCATCCAGATGGCTGAAGACTGCAAGCAATGACCCCCATAAAGATTGCAGACTGCAAAGCCAGAAGATCATGTCCTACCAATCCCAGTTTGCCAGCAGGACAAGGAGGATGACCTTTGCATCTGACTCAGTGGAATCCATAGGCTTGTATGGACAGCTATCACTATAAAGAATGAACACAAAGACAAGGCTTTGGGCCTGTCCACCTGCAAGAAAGAGTTTTGGGTGTGCCCAACATGTCCTGACTCCATCCCTTGTGGTCAGTCCAGCCGGCCACCAGAGTGACCCAAGTGACTTTAGAACTTGGTAACACCTTAGCCTTGCAGGTAACACGTTAGCCTTGGTAACACCTTGGCAACACCTTAGCCTTTGCAGGACTGTCTAACTGTGTGTGTGCTTGTTTCTTTTGTATGAAGGAATGAATGAATGAGTATGCATGGGAATGAGTGAAGCAGATAACAATATTGTTCTTTATTCTTTTCATGTTTTATGTTCCAACAAATGTGGCATTGTGCCTTATCCCCTGATAAGATTCCTGCTTGTTTTTAATTCACACTGTATGCACTGTGCGGACAACATGAGATAAGGTTTTTAGCTAGAGCTATAAAAGTCTGCAAGGCTGTGAAACAGAAAAGAGAAATTACAAGGAAAGGCTAACAGACAGCAGAAGAAAGGATAGATGCAGAAGACAGGATAGTATGATGTGGCATTGTGCCTTATCCCCTGATAAGATTCCTGCTTGTTTTTAATTCACACTGTATGCACTGTGCGGACAACATGAGATAAGGTTTTTAGCTAGAGCTATAAAAGTCTGCAAGGCTGTGAAACAGAAAAGAGAAATTACAAGGAAAGGCTAACAGACAGCAGAAGAAAGGATAGATGCAGAAGACAGGATAGTATGAGTAGTAGGCCTGTGTGAAGCAGCTAGTATTTGCTTTGGATTCAGATTCAGCTGATTCGGGAGACAGTGATTCAATTCGGTGATTCGAATCACTGTCCTGAATCAATTCGGCCGAATCTGATTCAGAGATTTGGCCCCCGCTGAATCATCCGAATCTGAATCAAACAGGCCTCCTCTCCCAACCCTGTCCTCCTCTCCCTCTCCCAATTTCCTGCCCCCTCTCCCAGCCCTGTCAATGGCTGCTCTGCCCAGCCCCAGTGTCGGCTCTTTAATAAAAAAAAAAAGAAAAATTCCCGCACTCACTGGCTGTTGCCAGGTGAGGGGGTGATCCCTGATGCCCACCACTGCCACATGGTGTGTGGGGGGCTCTGCCACAAGCCTCCACAGGCACTGATGGCTGCTGTAGCAGCTGGTGAGTGCAGGGCTTTTTTTCTTTCTTTCTTTCTTTCTTTCTTTCTTTCTTTCTTTCTTTCTTTCTTTCTTTCTTTATTTATTTTTTTTTTTATTTCTATGCGACAGCCATTGATGGGGCTAGGAAAGCAGGCATGGGTTGGGGGGCACTCAGGGGGGCTGGGGGAGCAGGCAGGGGATGGGGCCTGGCAGGGGTTCCTCCATAATCCCCTCCCCCCTCCTCCAACCCCCCTTGGCTCTACTTACCAGCACAAAGTCCGGGTCCAGGTTCCTCTGGCAGCAGACGGGGACTGCCTGAATCTCTGAAACTCTGCAAATTGTTTCCGAATCAATTCAGAGAGCTTTGAATTGATTTGGACCTTTTTATTTGTCTCCTGATTCGATTCGGATTTGGAGATTTGGCTGCTGAATTGTGCCAAATCTCCCCCAGATTGAATCAGCACACAAAGCTTTGCACAGCCCTAATGAGTAGCAGAACATCAGGACCGTTAAAAAGGATAGACCTGTAGGGTGGAGGGAGATTAGCAGGAATCAGGGAGATGATAATGAGCTATGAAGTCAATTGAGTCTTTCAGCAATGTCTGATTAGAAATGTCACTGCCCCTCCCCACAGTTGGTTTTAAAATTTGGAAGGAGCAGGAATCAAAGGGGTGCAGCTGCACCACTGCACCCTCCCTGGACCTACCCCTGGGTGACCTTTGAAGGTCACCTCCCTCCATATCAAGTTTAGTACTCAGGCTAACATTGGGTCCTTAGCAGTCATACAGGCAATGTCATCAGATCCAATGAAGATTCTAGCATCAGAACTTCACAGAATGGAGAAACAGTGAACTCAGGATAACAGAAAATGACTCAGAGCATTTGCATTTACTATCAACTTCCCAGGGTGGTGTTGACATTTAGAGTCATATGCATTTAAATGTAAGGAGCAACAAAGCATATGTGGTGGAATGATTTGGGGTGTTGGTCTATTCTTGGTAAATTACCGTACCAATGGTTTATGACAGGGGTGATGAGCAGGAGGTGCAAGCAGGTGCACGTGCACCCCCTGAGAGTGGCGGTGCACCCCCGACAAAAGGGCGCTGCCGACAGTGTCAGCAGTGCCTGCAGGCGGTTGCTGCTCACCACCCCTCCCCGCTGCCAACAGCACCAGTGGCATGCTGCTGTGCCTCCCCCAGCTGCCAGGGGCACACGTCATTCATGGTTTATGATCTGTCACAACTGTGAATTTGCAGCCATAGACATAGTCATTCACAGATGTTTGGGTCAGAAGGGACCTTAGCAGATCATCGAGTCCGCCCCCCTCTCCTGGTCAGGAAAGAGCGCTGGGGTCAGACGACCCCAGCCAGGTGCATGTCTAGCCTCCTCTTAAAGATCCCCAAGGTAGGGGAGAGCACCACTTCCCTTGGAACCCCATTCCAGATTCTGGCAACCCTAACCATAAAGTTCTTCCTGATGTCTAACCTAAATCTGCTGTCTGTCAGTTTGTGGCTGTTGTTCCTAGTTACTCCAAGGGGGGCCCTGGTAAACAGAGCATCTCCTATTCCTTGTTGTCCCCCCCACCCCGGTGAATTTGTAGGCAGCCACAAGATCACCTCTCAGCCTTCTCTAGCTACACCTATCCATTTGGGTGTAATTTCTCTCTGTCTTATTCATGGTTTGTAAATGGAAGCTTCACATTCATCATTCTCCTAGTGACTGAGGACAGCTCCCACTCCATACAGTGAAGCATGACAAATAAGCAGAAATGGCTTCTCTATGTCATCATGACATAGCATGCTGTCAGATGACAACAATCGCTTCACTTCACTGCCTTGTCATGAAGTTTAGTTCATTTCCAGATGGCATCCTTATCCAATAGATGATGCAGACTCAGTGACTGTAGCCTTGTCTTTTAGGAAAGAATAGTAAGAATGGTAGAAATTAAGTAGATGCAGGAATGTTTGCAGTTTCTGCTTATTTTTGGGTATTCGAGCCTTATGAATGAATCGTCTCTATCTTTACATTTGTTGGATGAATTTTGGCAGCATCAACTCAAAACCTGGAGAACTTCACAATGGTCACTCTAGAAACACATTTATCTTTCTTGAGTTTCAGGCCAGCATTGGAGATGCAACCTAACATTTTTTTGCACTTCGACGACTAATTCTGGGATGAACCCTGCTTAAGTGAGGACATAAGGACATAAATAAAATATGGCATGACTCCCTTAGGACTTGCAAGTCATCCATAATTTCTAGGAAAACTTACTCCAAACTGCTTATTCCAAACTGTATCCCATACTCTGTACTCCATACTGTAAGTGGTTCCCTTATGGGTGACGATTGTGCATCAGCTGTTTGATCGTTTATAGCGAGTTATTGATATGCTTGGACCAAGTCTAATTTGGCAAAAATCTTTCCTCCAGCAAGAGTGGCAAGGAGCTGGTTTAGTGCTGGAATCTGGTATGGGTCTTTCTGTAGTATTTTATTAATGGTACACTTGTCAGCACATAATCAAATATCACCACTTGGCTTCAAGATGGGTACAATGGGAGTGGTGTATGTTGGATTTAAATGTGCTTCTAGGACATCTTGTTCCACAAGTCAATCAATCTTTGAATCAATTTTTGGATGAAGGCAACACAATGAAGCTTCATTCGAACAGATCCAAAGAAAATGACACAGGCTGGCCCTTGTAGATGCCAACCTGTTCATGGAAGACTTTGCTGAAATCCTTTAGGACATTTTGTAAGGTGTTCATCATGAGACTGTGCACTCCTGCTAATCTGATACTGAATGGTTCAAACCATTTTTCTCATCGTAAACTTGCTCTCCTACCTTTGGCAATTATTAGGTGGAGTATTGCTTGGTCTTGCCCATAATGGACATTGGCATAACATGCAGCCTTCAAACCTATTGTTTGTTTGTTATAATCTACAAGTTTAGCTTCAATGGCACAATAGGTGGACAACTTCTAGGCCACAGTAAATTGTATGTCTCTTCTGAGATTAAGGTAAATTTGGGTCCTGAATTTACCTCCAGTACAGGATATATCTTGGAGAATCACTGTTGTGTTCATTGTTGTCTTCTGTAGGGTTGGTAGTTCCACATTAGAAACAAATGCAGTAGCATAGGTGTCAGGGAACAACTCACATGATGGAATTTCATTTGAATCAGTAATACTCCTAGTGGTAGCTGGAGGTGTGCTCCCCTTGGTTGCCTTCTTCCTAGATGTCTTGCACTTCTG